TAATTGGAGGTAACAAACAATCTAGGAGTATGCATTGCAACAACTAAATCAAGGGAGAAATTTAGTTTAGTTCTGTAGATCTGAAATTGGAAAAATAACTGACAAAAACAGAAATTGCTGGAAAAGCTCAGCAGGTCTGGCAGCATCTGTGGAGAGAAATCAGATTAATGTTTTGGTTCGGTGACCCTTCCTCACCTGAAACGGTAGCTCTGATTTCTCTCCACAGATGCTGCCAAACCTGCTGAGCTTTTCCAGCAATTTCGGGTTTTGTCTCTGATTTACAGCATGTGCAGTTCTTTTGGTTTTTATTTGGAAAAATAACTGATTGCAGGAAAGTTTAAACTTTAAATGGTATAGTTTGAGAGAGAATTGACTGTTGAGTTTACACATACAGGCCTGAGTTTAGACGGAATAATATGGGTCTAACCTGCATCACCTTTTTTAGGCAAGGCTGACTGTATTAAGTGCCATTCTTGGCATTTGATTGGTCGAATGTGAGCCTCCTTTGGCATCAAGGATGGCAATTCTATTGAATGGCAGGAACACTGGGTATGCGGTGGCTGCTACTGGGTACGAGCTTGCCCCAAGGCTGAGATTCATTGTTGGATCCCAGGTCACAACCAGGACAGTTGCTGTCAGCAGATTCCCCCTGCCCCTGTCCAGGTGATGGGACCTTAAAGGGACTGAATGCCTTTGTATGAAGGACTCACTCCCATCACAGAACCTACACATAATTTGTCACAGATTCACTCATCATACTCCTGCCAGGGAAGCACACCATGTGCCACTGTTCGTGGGTTGTGGCCTTTACGTGGGCATTTATTGCCCACTTTAAGGACCTCAATTGCCAGCAGCGTGGGTAGGTTCTGCTCGAAGCTCCCCACCATGGAACTAATTGGGGTGGAGGCAAGAACATAAGAACTAGGAGCAGGAGTAGGCCGTCCAGCCCTTCGAACCTGCTCCGCTATTCAATAAGATCATGGCTGATCTTTTCATGGACTCAGATCCACTTACCCACATTCTCACCGGATCCCTTAATTCCTATATTGTTCAAAAAAATATCTACCTTATATTTAAAAACATTTACTGAAGTAGCGTCAACTACTTCACTGGGCAAGGAATTCCATAGATTAACAACCCTCTGGGTGAAGAAGTTCCTTCTCAATTCAGTCCTAAATCTGCTCCCTGTAATCTTGAGGCTATGCCCTCTTGTCCTAGCTTCACCTGCCAGTGGAAACATCCTCTCTGCTTCTATCTTATCTATTCCCTTCATAATTTTATATGTTTCTGTAAGATCCCCCCTCAATCTTCTGAATTCCAATGAATATAATCCCAATCTACTCAGTCTCTCCTCATAAGCCAACCCCCTCAACTCCGGAATCAACCTAGTGAACCTCCTTTGCACTCCCTCCAGTGCCAATACATCCTTTCTCAAGTAAGGAGACCAAAACCGCACACAGAACTCCAGGTGTGGCCTCACCAGCACCTTGTACAGCTGCAACATAACCTCTCTGCTTTTAATCTCAATCCCTTTAGCAATGAAGGACAAAATTCCATTTGCCTTCCTAATTACTTGTTGTACCTGCAGACCTACCTTCTGTGATTCATGCATAAGGACACCCTGGTCCCTCTGCATAGCAGCATGCTGCAACTTTTTACCATTCAAATAATAATCCTTTTTACTATTACTCCTACCAAAACGTATGACTTCACATTTATTTACATTGTATTCCATCTGCCAGACCTTTGCCCACTCACTCAATGTATCTATGTTCCTCTGCAAATTTTCACAGTCCTCTGCACACTTTGCTCTGCCACTCATCTTAGCGTCATCCGCAAACTTTGACACCCTACACGTGGTCCCCAACTCCAAATCATCTGTATAAATTGTAAATAATTGCGGTCCCAACACCGATCCCTGAGGCACACCACTAGTCACTGACTGCCAGCTAGAATAGCACTCATTTATCCCCACTCTTTGCTTCCTGTTAGTCAACCAATCCTCTATCCATGCTAATACTTTACCCTTAACGCCATGCATCCTTATCTTATGCAGTAGCCTCTTGTGCACCACCTTGTCGAAGGCCATTTGGAAATCTAGGTACACCACATCCACTGGGTCACCATTGTCCACCTCGCTAGTAATGTCTTCATAGAATTCCAAAAGATTTGTCAAGCATGACCTGCCCTTCATGAACCCATGCTGCGTCCGCCCAACGGGACAATTTCTATCAAGATGCCTTGCTATTTCTTCCTTGATAGTAGACTCAAGCATCTTCCCCACTACAGAGGTTAAGCTAACTGGTCTATAATTCCCCATCTTTTGTCTACTTTCCTTTTTAAACAGTGGCATCACATTTGCTGAAGAAGGCTTGGTGCCCCATCCTCTTGCCTGATTATTCACCTCCAACCACCAAGCACACCACAGCGAGGGGATTAAATTCACCCACAACTTATTAAGAAGCAGGAGCGGATCCTCAACTTTTATAGGTTACAGGCATAGCAATGATTAGGGAGAGTGTTGTTTACATGTTGAAAGGGCCAATCCTTACTTCAGAAGGACATTCCTCATAGAATAATTGAGAAAGAGAAACTAATCCAGCTAATGTGAAACATAGAAACTGAAACCACAGGACAATATTTTATACTACCTGTACACAATTGAATTGCCAGTAGGGGAAAGGAAGCAAACACTCAAGATTTTGCTAGGAAGTGAACTTAAAACAGTTTGGAATCTTTTATTTCAAAAACATACTATATTCATAAAACTATCTTTATATACATACAGCAGTTCAGTTCTGTACATTAGCATATGGTAAAACAAACATTGGAGTTTTACTCTATCTAGCAAACAAACTCAAGGCATTTCTTACTTGTACGAGAATATATTTATGTAGATTTGAGGCATCAGGAGGGTCTGATAACTGAACAATCCCCATGTAACTTCAGCAGGAAGACCATAAACAGTTTGGAATTAGCTCAAAGTCTTCTCACAATCCTCCATGTGTGCTGTTCTGACTAATCCAGTGCAGCTGTAAAACAGAGAGCTGGGCTTCCAGCCTGGCCCATAGTGTGGCCAACATTGCGTACTTGCTAACTGCTTTTTTGTTTCGTACTTAGGAGAAGAATGGCTTGAAAAAATAATCCCATGAATTTTCTTCAGGAATTAGTGTCATCTGCTTGGCTGGAATGGTCTTATGTAGAATGGTGTTTGTTGTTGAATTTGGCTCTTGCCTCATTACTGTCAGCCTCGTTACTGACCCTTGTACATAGAATCACTGATTTTGTTACCATAATTAATCCAGGATAACAGGGTTCAGCTACACAGGGCAGATTTTTAGTCAAATCTACCAGCAATTTTCTTCCTTGTTCCAGAGGATATTTAAACACTCTTTGTGCCCAGGCTGATGCTGAGCTATGTCATGAAGCTTTAGTCTTCTAAATTCCAGGGAATACAGGCTTGGTTTGTTTAATCTCTCCTAATAGTTAATCCAGGAAGCACAGGTATCAATATGGTAAATTCATGCTGCATCTCTTCCTTCCTAACTTGTGGTTCCCAGAACTGCTCACAGTAGTTCAGGTGTAGTCAAGGATTTAGTACGTATGACATGCATATTACAACAGTTGTAGATTCATGTGTTTTATAGCAAGACTTCAAAGGTGTGATGCATTTTGGGGTCAGTCCTGACTTTGTTAGAACTAGGAATATTTTTGTAGGGCAAACTGGAAATTGGATAGCTGAAATTTGATTAAACTGCAGTAATGCTCTTTGGGTGTTTGGGAGTACGTAAGGTCCAGTTGTGAGCTTTAGCCCACTGCTGAATTCCTGATGTTTATCTGCTGTGAGAAGAGGGAAGAGATTTGACCTGGACAGCACTGGGTGGTGATGGGGACGCATCTGTACACATTGACATTTGACTTTCTAAGAGTTGTCATGATGCATTAGATTTAGATTTAGATTTAGATTTTTGTAATATTTCCCTGGGTATGTTTCCTTTGTGTCTGGCTCTCCAAAAATGTAAACATTTGATGAGTACTAATGTTCTTATGGTCATGAACGAAACCTAGGTGACAATTAAAGGTTTCAAAATTCTGCTCAGTCAATTGTTTTTTAATTGGAAAAACCCTCAACATTAAGATGAGAATGAGAGACCTAGAAAATCCACTTGGTGCAATCCCAACTCCTCTTCTTAATTCACTCATGGAATGAGGGCTTCGCTGACCAGGCAGCATTTATTTCTAATTGCCCAGAGGGCAGTTCAAAGTCAACCACATTGCTGTGGGTCTGGAGTCACATGTAGGCCAGACCAGGTAAGGACAGCAGTTTTTGTCCCTAAAGGACATTAGTGAACCAGATGGGTTTTTCCCAACAATCGACAATGGATTAACAGTCATTGTTAGATTCTTAATTCCAGATATTTATTGAATTCAAATTCCACTGTCTGCCGTGGTGGGATTCGAATCTGGATCCCCAGAAAATTATTTGGGTCTCTGGATTAACAGTCCAGCGATAATACCACTAGGCCATCGCCTCCCCTTCTAATGACAGTTCTCATGGAACTCTACTGCTGACTGCATCAAAATTCATAACTTACCCCATCGTGGGCCGCAAGATGGTGTCTCCTCTGTCGCTTTCTAGAAGGGGGCACCTTAAAGGAGGGACCACTTTAAAAGCCCCCTCAGAACTCTGTCCTGTGATCTTCCAGGGTACAGGTTCTGTCCTTACTTCAGAACTGTAGGTGATAATGTGAATGAAGTGTCGCAAAATCTTGATATATCCAAACAATTACAGTTGCTTCTGCGCTATCTATTATAAAAGTAACATATTGACACAGAAATGTTCTAAAAATTACTTTTAGATGTCAATGTGTTCTTCTTTAGGCAGGAAGTGCAAAATGCTTAATAAGATATAGACAGATGTTGAAGGGAGAGAGAATCTGAAGCAATTCACCATGGGTCATGTCATCATATTAAAAGTTTCCTTTTTTGTATCTCTATAGTGTTGTTTGCCAGTGAAACTGCAGAAGCTCAGGATCATATCCTCCTGAACCTTGGCGATGGACTCAAGTTAACATGTGACACCAATCGATCTGTGAACGTCAACTGGTACAAAGAAGACAAGCAACTTCTGTCAGATGACAGAGTGCATGTAGCCCGGAAGGTTCTGGAAATTGTCGAGATGACATATGATGATTCGGGCCTATACCTTTGTGTGGTACGTGGAACAGGCGAGATCCTAAGGAATTTCACAGTGACCATAGCAGGTACAACTCTCAATTTTTTCCATAAAGTCTCTGATGCCTAAACCCAAATGGTAATAAACATTTCTTCATACGGTAAATGTGTTTGTGCTATTCAGAATATTGTCATCATTGATGTTTACTCGCTAATGATTGGCTAACTAAGAAATTTCATGTCACATGTCATGGGTTCACTGGGTCCTTGTGTAGCTGATGATCCTAATCCTACAGCCTCTTTTCTGAGCATAAATTTAGCAAGTGTTTCCAGGAGGTGGAATTGATCCTTTGTCTTGAGATCATTGGCATTCCTTTCTCTGGTTCCTTTTCCATATTTCCTCTTGCTGACTGGTGTTCTCAAAGAATCGTGTCCCTTCTTATGGGACCTTCGTCCAAGTTGGTTTCTTCTGAATGAGGGTCTTCCACACTTTTACATATATTTCACATTCCTTGAGGGAAACCTTCAGCAAGTCTTTGAAACACTTCTATTTGGAATACAGCTTCATTTTCTTTTTCCTTTATTCATTCATGGGGGTGACTGTGGCTAGACCAGTATTTATTGCCCATCCTTAATTGCCCAGAAGGCAGTTAAGAGACAACCACATTGATGTGGCATTCATGGTCATCATTAGACTCTTAATTCCAGATTTCTTTTTAATGAATTCAAATTCCACCATCTGCCATGGTGGGGATTCGAACCCGGGTCTCCAGAAAATTATCTGGGTCTCTGGATTAACAGTCCAGTGATAATACCCCAAGATCATCGCCTCCCCTTTGTATGAATTTAAGCACTATGCTTAATCACTATCTCATGTTTTATCTAAGATGCTTTATCTTACTTTTTTCAGTCTGGTTTTCTGCACTGTAGACCTTAGCTATAATTTGTGTTTGAAATTTTTTTAAAAAGATGCAGCATGATGCTAAAAATGGTTTGCTAATATGGCATTTAAGGGTCAGAATTGCATTACACTTAACTGCTAGGATTTCCATGGGTCTGAAACATAACAGGTACTCTTCTCTACATGAGGGGAAAACAGATCAATATAACACAAGAGAATATAATTAAAATCCTCTTTATGTAGTTGAAATAGAGATTCTCCAATCTGAAATGGCCTTCCATAATTTCTCCACCAGGCAATCTAGTTTGACCCAGTGCCTTAATGGAATTTAGGTGTACAGGCGTTACAGCATGCACATTTTGTTTGTACATGTTTATTTGATAAAACTAAAAGTGCAGCCTCAAATATTTACAAGAATTCCAATTTGAGACTCAAGATTGAATGTCATCTTTATGAGGGATTGCCTCTCCAATTTTAAGATGTTAGTTTAGCATTATTAAGAGCATCTGACTTCCACAATTTTAGAATTTGCCGAATAAGGCACTAACCACTGCATTGGGACCTATAGTTTTGGGAATGGGAAATTTCATCTGAAATTGTTTAATTGTATTTGTATTAAAAGATTTATCAATTTTGATAATGGATGCAGTTGTATATACTGTTTGATCACAGAACTCTGTACAATATATCGTGTGTCTGTAGTGCACACTGATCTAATTATAAGAGTCAATAGAACAGAGTAGAAACTGAAGAAAATAATTCCACCAGTACATCTGACAATGTAGTACTAGTGCATTCTGGAAAATTAGGCAAAATGCTGATATTTAGACTGTAAAATTCAAATTCTGCTCACTGTTTTCAACAAAAGTGCCAGGCCTGATGTCAGTACATGGAACCTAATTTTATTATATGTATATGGTACAGTATAATTATTACAGGACACACCACTTACCTGGAACAATTAGCAACAACTTCTGTAAAGTGTATATGTTCACAAATGTGTTGAGGACAAGGTAGACCTTGTGACCAAACAACACCCAGACTGTCTCATTCTACACTTGTATGACGAATGGTAACTTGGAAAGACTACTTACCATGTGCCTAATATCCATTTCCATAGTTGCAATCCATTATTGAAAGAGGGAAACAGGCTTCATCCCCTCTGACAGAACGTCAATGGAATATGAGAGTACAGTGATGGTGCATCAATCACAGCTCGTTTCTTCCAGTTACTGCACTGTATTCAGTGAAATCTAAACCGGAGAGTGTACAGTGTAAGTTTGCAGGTTAAGTTATGGTCTCTGATGTCCCCTATATTAATTGTTTCAGACTCACTGTCCTCTGGTGATGACGATGAAGATGGTGGATCTGAAGATTCAATTCCAGAATCCAATGATGGACATGCTTATCCTCAGAAAGGTCAGCTATTTAGATCACACAGATTAAAAATAATCCAAAACAGCCTGGAGTTGAGCATCAGTAAATGTTGCTTGACATTATTGATATCTTCTTCCAAAAATTTACTGATAATTGAGGCAAGCTGGAGGGATGGGCTGTAATTGGCTTTAGTAGATTCACCTGCTTTTTGTGCCTAAGACAAACCAGGACAATTTTCCACATTATCAAGCAGATCCTAAGAAGAAGCTGCACTGGAACCACCTAGTTTTGATCTGCATATCAATTAGTTTCTGATTCATGGTAAGATGCAGAGTGAGGAATTGTAAAACAATGCACTTTTCACCCATCTTTTCTTGGCCACATTCGTAAATGTTCACTTAAGTCGGCTGTTTGTGGGGCTGTGCTCTCAGGATTGTTGGAACATTGCAGGGTCCTATCATGTCTCTAACTTCGAGAATCAATCGAGTCACTTGAGAACCAACAAGTGAGCTCCCCAATTAAATTGCTTTGTGTATTTTTGGGCGACAATTTGTCTTTGCTCTAATTGTTCAGGCTCTGAGATCAGTCTGCTGTTAAATGCGTAGCCTAATTACCACAGGAGTTCCCCGTCCAGCTAATTGAGACGATTACTGCAGAGCTGATTAGGTAGGAATGTTCAGGAATGCGCAGTTGCTTTGGGGGAGTTTCAAATGGTTAGTGTTTGATGTTACTGTTGAGTTTCATTTATACAAAGCTCCTAAATCCATATTAAAAGAATTGACTCAGGTTGGCCAGTATGTCAATTTTTTAGTAGTTCTGGAGGTAGTTCAAAAGTTTGTCCTAAGTACCTCATCAATCCCAACTTGCCCCCACCCTACACATCCCCATTCAAGCTGTGTTTATTGCCAACTGACAGCAGAATTCCCTTTTCAAAGAGCAATGGAGTTAGTTTCACTCTCTGGCTTTTTCCATATATCTTGTTTTTTTCGCTCTTTATTAACCCCATTCCCTTTTGAAATCAGCTATTGTAATGAATTTGACTCAACATTCTAAATATTCATCATGTAAAAACAATTTTCTTCATTTCATTTCTGACTCTTTTGCCAATCCTCCTAAATTTGTGCCCATGGTTAACAATCCTTCAGTCTTAGAAGACAGTGGGCTAAACTTTTAAAAATTTGAAAATGTTCAGGAGGTGGGACCATTTCTGGATCCTCAGCCCGTTGACCCTGTTGAAGGTGGAAATTCATTGGCAAACTGACCAGAAGCAATATTTCAAAATGTGCTTAATGGTCCTATCTCCATAAGGCCTAGTTTCTCTTTATTTAGATACCTTTACCATATGTCATTTAAACTTTTTGTGTTCCCTGAAAAATAACAATAACTCCTGCAGTCTATTCGTGTAATTGTAATCTGTCATCACTGGAAACAAACGAGTAAATCTCTTTTACATTCTCTCCAAACCTTCACATGCTAAATTATGGTGTCCGGAATAGGACATAATAGCACCGATGAGAATGAACTGGTGTTTTGTGTAGCTTCAGTAGACTTTCCAGTTTATGTACTCTTGCATCTCAACACTATATTGCGTTGGATTTCATCTGCCATATATCATTGCATTTCACCAGCCTATGTCGTCTCAAATTATATTACTTTCATCCTTATTGTTTACTGTGCTTCCAAGTTTGATACATTCTACAAATTTCAAAATCGTGCCTTCAAACCCCAAATCCAGATTATTAGCATTCTAAAAACAGCAGGGGACTTAATGCTGAATCCTCAGGAACACCACTGTATGTTTCAGTTTGAAAAAAAGCTATTCACCATGACTCTTATCTATCACCTAGTGAGTTTTATGTCTATACAGCTACTAACCCCTTAATCCAAAGGATTTCAATATTGGTCCGCCTAATATATGGTACTTTTACAAATATCTATTTAAAGTCCCTTGAACATTAAGTTGGCAGGTCCTGACTAGCAATTCACCATTCAATTAACCACAATACCTCAAGCATGATAGTGCATCGCAACTCAGCGGTAGTATTGTTGTCTCCAAGTCAGATGCAACAATGAGAGAGTTTACTGCAATGTTGGAGGTGTCCTCATTTAGATTAAATGTTAAATCATGGCTGTCTGCATTGTCAGGTGATGATAAAAGGTACTATAGTATTTTTGAAGAATAGCAAGGAAGATGTCTTGGCACCTGATGAGCAGCTGTCCAAGTATATTGGCACGATTTATCCTTCAAACAAACCTCCAGTGATAGACCTCTGATCTAAGGTCATTTACTTATAACTATTTGATAGAGCTTGCTACATGCAAATTGGTTGCCGTGTCACACCACACAATAAATGATTTCATTCTAAATGTAATTTATTGGGTGTAAATTACTTGGGGTTGTTTTGATGCTGTGAAAGATGTGACGTATGTTCAAGTACTTGCATGGTTGCATTTTAATATTGCTGCTGCGTGCTTTCATTGAAGATGTGTACCACAAATATGAGGCAATTTCATTTCTTCTCCTAGTGGTCTGACCAAAATCAATCTGCCCTGAGCAACAGGATCAATTGATTAAATAGACAGTGAAACAATTGTTTTTCATATGAGATAAATTCACTGATTATTACTATCAATATGGAGCCCTGTTCACAGTGAGCACAGGTACAGGTTATTGTCTACAGGTTATTGTACTAATTTCTAACTGAATTTGTTTCCTCCTTATTTCTATTCTGACACACAGGAGCACCCTACTGGACACACTTTGAGCGTATGGAGAAGCACCTACATGTGGTTCCAGCTGCAAATACAGTGAAATTTCGCTGCCCAGCTGCTGGAAATCCCATTCCAACCATACGTTGGCTGAAGAATGGCCGGGAGTTCAGGGGAGAGCAGAGAATTGGAGGCATTAAGGTATAACTCACTTTCGCCCATGAACAACCTGGTTCTGTAGATAAGGGTTCAGTTAGACTCAGAAGGTTCACATTCAAAAGGCACAAATGAAAGTTTGAATTCAACTAAAGAAGTTGATAAATATTTTTCTTGATCAATGGGACCTGTTCAGGAATTTGACACCCGCAGACCATGCCTGCTTTCTTTACAATGACCTTTTTACTCTTGTTTGGGATGTGGCTGTAACAGGCAAGACTGGAATGCATGACTATCCTTCATTGCTGTTGAATTGTTAGTACTCTGGGCCATTTCGGAGGGCAATTAAGAGTCAACCACATGGTTTTGTGTCTGGGGTCTCACGTAAGCCAGAGCAGGTAAAGATGGCAGATTTCCTTTCCTAAAGGGCATTAGTGAACCAGATGGGGTTTTATGTCACTTGACAATTGGTTACAGAAAGGCTCTTAAATCTTGATTTTTCTTGTATTTAAATTTCATAATTTGCCACAGCAGATTTGAACTCATGTCCCCAGAACATTAGCCTGGGCTCTGGATTTCGGTGATGTTACTGTCTCTCCATTTCCACCCCTGCCCTCCCCTCTCCTCATTGATGAGCATATATCTACTCTTTCCCCAAAATCACAACCATTTATTCAAGTATTTGGCACACAAAACCACTAGAGATTTAATTTATGTTGGCAAACCTCACAAGTCCATCAGAGATCAGGTGCCTAATCCTCCACCAACAAATCCATAAAGGAAAGGAGTGTGAAGCAATACAATTCCAACACTTCTTGTTTTCTTAAATGTATTGCTTTGATGTAACACAACCCTACTTATTCAATATTGTGTTTCAAACCACCTGAGTGTTCCTACATTACTACAGAACTGACATTGACATTACGAGGTTCATATAGAGCTAAGCTGCTGTATAAAAGATATTACCATCTGAAAGACAGGTCTGGGGCATTGCCAGCAGCAGTATGAATATCACATTAAAGAAAGTGGTTGATGTGAATAATAACTTATCAGAAAGGAAGAGGTGGGTGAACGATGCATTCCTTACATGTAGAATTCTGCCAACAGAGGAGGAGCCATAATCAACAAAAAAAAGAGTTTGGTGGCTGTAGGGTTTTTTTTCTAGGAAGTTAGGAACATGCCCGAGATGTGTTAGTGAGCAGAGATTTTAAATCAAATTTATAATTTCTGACAATTGCTAGTGTTATTTAAAAAAGTGTTCTCAGTTCATTGTATTCTATCATGAAATAAGCTTTGTTTGTAAATAAAGAACTTGTTTAGTATCTTCTTGGCTCAGTTGGCAGTTCTTTCACTAGAGAGTCTTGAGGTTGTGGGTTCAAGTCTATCTACAGGCTTCAGTGAATAAGTGTGATACTTGTGAGTAATACTGAAAAAGTGCAACATTGTCCAGGGAGCCTTATTTCAAATGAACATTAAAATAAAGTTGGTCCTCCTGTTCAAATGAAATAAAAAATCCAATAACTCTATTTCAGTCAAAATCACCAAAAACAAGATAACTCACTACTGTTTGAATAACACTCTATTTGTCTCCATTACAGAAATTAATTCTATGGTTGTAAGGTACTTTGAGATGTCCTGAGGATAAGATAAACACTATATAAATGCAGTTTCTTTCTAAGAACAGACCCAAATAAGTTATTTAAGTGTATGTTGTATAGCAGAATGAAATATCCAGTGTTTATAGCCCAAATCTGAATCCAGAGTAAATTTAGTCAGGGTTGGGCTTGGGTGTGAGGCCTGAGAAATATCCCCCTGAGCATTTCAGCATGAAACCCAGGAGATTTAACTGTCTGTCCGTCTCTATCAAGCTTTGGCTGTTTCTGACATTACTAACAGCCATGTTGGCTGAGGTTGACCATGGTAGTTAAAGGGACATTATCTTCAACAAAATTTGTTTGTCAAATCTCATCTACTATGTATTACCTGAAACCTTGTGATCACATCACTTCATACATGATGTCATTATGACAAACATGGTTATATGTTATCCCAACAAGCATTGCCACATCAAATAGAAAGAAGGTTAGATGTTAAGCCAAGTATCCTTGGCAGAGATTCAGTAAGTACTCACTAGTACTGCATTTACATATGTACAAAATTTCTCCTGTTCAATTGATTTTAATCTAACAGAATGATAGAAAAAAAATGTAGACAAGAATATAGTCCTGAGAGACTTAGTTTGATTCCTTGATAGTACTCATTTTGTTTTAGTGGTTTTTGCAAGTTTGTTTGCCTTTTAACTGGTTTGTAATTTTGAAATGTAATTTATCCTGTCAGCTAAGGCATCAGCGTTGGAGCCTTGTGATGGAAAGTGTTGTCCCATCTGACCGTGGTAACTATACCTGTGTGGTGGAGAACAAATACGGCAGCATCAATCACAGTTATCAGCTGGAGGTTTTAGGTAAGGATTGAACAGTTCAAGAGAGAATCAAACTGATATGGGAATGGGGGGAAATGAGAAGAAGGATGTTTGTATTTCTAATGACTGTTTGTTCCTATAGATTCTGATAATTGTTTTGCTAGAATTGACTCAGAATATTTGTGCTGTATTGCTTTAAATTAAATGCATGATGTTTCTATTAAAATAGAGATCAGAGGAATTTCATATGGGTAAAACTACAAGATTTTTCCACTATTACCAGCAACAGTGCTTTCTGTGCTTTGATCTTCTGGGCTAATCTGTATGTATCATAGTTTGGATTTTCTGCTTCAACACTGTGGAGATGATTTGCCCTCCAAGTTCATGACTTTTTTGAAAACTAAAATTGGGGACTGAAAATCCAAGCCAGTATACATAACTAAGCCATATTAGGCCTGTTTGTTTGGCTCGTGACATTCAAAATTAACATTGTGCCACCAAAATGGAATGAATGCAATTTCTGGAAAAATAATCTAATTAGAGTCAGGTAATTATAGGCAAAAGGGCGCCAATTATTATGATTCTGATAATAGCAGATTTTTGCATGTGGAATATCAGTTCATGTTATCTAAATTCCAAATGCTGATAACAATCAAACAGGAGTAAAAGTCTACAAATGATTGGAAAATTTCCGTGAAAGCCAGGTGTTTTTGTTGGACTTGGTCGTGGTTGACATTGGATCTGAGCCGATATGATGATTCTGGTTGACCTAAAATGTTATTAGTGGTGCAATTAGCGTCAGTGTAGGGCTTGACCACAATCTTTGTGCACAACAAAACTTCAAAGGAACATCAAAGGTCACAAGGCTGTTATCCGTAATAATGAAACCCATTATGAGCTGCTCTGATCCTCCATCTTACATTGCCTGTTTATCTGTCCTCCATATCTTATTTCCATAGGGAATTGGTGTTGACAATTTCTGCCTGGAAATTATTTGAAGAATGGAAGGAGCCAACCAGGTTCTGTTATGATTAGCAATGCAAATAAACAGTGAATAAGAAACTTTGAGAGTGTTGCCATAGTGCCATTTTCTTCCCATTAAGTTTGCGGATGACTGAGGACAATTGGCTAAATAAATGCAGCGACAAAAACAAAAACGCACTTAAGTACCAGAAGTTCCTGAACTCTGTGTATAAATATAATGTATACACAGATTCTCAAGATTGCAAGCATATTTATCCTTAAGTACAATGTCCAAAATACAGACATATATAAAGTAATATCTTCTGTCCACAGAGAGGTCTCCTCATCGGCCTATCCTGCAGGTCGGCCTGCCAGCTAACAAATCTGTGGTGGTGGGAAGCAACGTAGAGTTCCACTGTAGAGTTTTCAGTGATGCCCAGCCTCACATCCAATGGCTGAAACACGTGGAGGTGAATGGCAGCAAATATGGACCAGATGAAGTCCCCTATGTCCAAGTTTTAAAGGTAAGTATGTGAGCCAATTAATAGATTATTTTAGGGACTCTAGCCATTCTAATGCTGGTTCTAACCAATCAATTACAGTGTACTTACTGGGCAAGCTGGTTATCAAATAACCTTTACAGTAGCATGCTATTAGTATTAGTTTGTTGCAAACAATGCTATTATAGACTTGAATAACCACGTTATTTCCTGTTTCATCTCCAATATGTAATCCAATATTATGCACCTGCAAAACACCTTTTATATACATGCTGCGGATGCAAAACATTAAACCTATACAAGTTGATGTACTTTTGCTCTCTTCACAGACTGCTGATATCAACAGCACTGAAATTGAAGTCCTCTACTTGCATAATGTCACATTTGAGGATGCAGGAAAGTACACCTGCTTGGCAGGCAATTCCATTGGGATCTCTTACCACTCAGCATGGCTGACAGTTTTACCAGGTGTGTTCTACTATACCTACAGTATGTGAAAACTTCTGTAAAGATTGCAGGATCAATTTTAACCTGAGGTGTATACAGGCCTTGTATTGTAGACAATATGTAAATCCAAACAGAGATTTCATCTTGGGATGCTGTGTCATTTTAATACCTAGAACTCATTTAAATATTGAAACATAGGCTGCTACTGAAATAAGGGAGGGGTTAGGTGCAGGGACATTAATGCCGGCACAGTGGGAGGGAGCAGAAGTTCAGATTCAATCCCAGTTTCACCCCAAAGATAAATGAATTGTCATTAGCACAATGTTCATGCAGTGAGGGGTTTCACGGATGCTGCTAGTCAAATACACGACAGTGATAAATATAAGGTTTGGGACATTATGTGATTCCTTGCATGATTCATGGAAGAACAAGTAATCTTCAGCAAAGGGAAATGTAAATACTTACCCTTCCCGTTTAGGCTTCTCTGCTAATCACCATCACATCCTGCTGCCAGGTTTGGTGCTGACAATGCCTCTCTAATTTTAGTTGACAAGACAGAGCAATGCTGATAACATTACACTGTGACCTTCAAGGTCGCAGGAGTGCACCGGCAGGCAGGAAGGTGGTTTGAAGTGTGTCTACTTCAATGCCAGGAGCATCCGGAATAAGGTGGGTGAACTTGCAGCATGGGTTGGTACCTGGGACTTCGATGTTGTGGCCATTTCGGAGACATGGATAGAGCAGGGACAGGAATGGTTGTTGCAGGTTCCAGGGTTTAGATGTTTCAGTAAGATCAGGGAAGGTGGTAAAAGAGGGGGAGGTGTGGCATTGTTAATCAAGGACAGTATTACGGTGGCAGAAAGGACATTTGATGACAACTCGTCTACCGAGGTAGTATGGGCTGAGGTTAGAACCAGGAAAGGAGAGGTCACCCTGTTGGGAGTTTTCTATAGGCCTCCGAAAAGTTCCAGAGATGTAGAGGAAAAGATTGCAAAGATGATTCTAGATAGGAGCGAAAGTAACAGGGTAGTTGTTATGGGGGACTTTAACTTTCCAAATATTGACTGGAAACGCTATAGTTCGAGTACTTCAGATGGGTCAGTTTTTGTCCAATGTGTTCAGGAGGGTTTCCTGACACAGTATGTAGATAGGCCAACAAGAGGCGAGGCCACATTGGATTTGGTACTGGGTAATGAACCAGGCCAGGTGTTAGATTTGGAGGTAGGTGAGCACTTTGGTGATAGTGACCACAATTCGGTTACGTTTACTTTAGCGATGGAAAGGGATCGGTATATAACGCAGGGCAAGAGTTATAGCTGGGGGAAAGGCAATTATGAGGCGATGAGGCAAGATTTAGGATGCATAGGATGGAGAAGGAACCTGCAGGGGCTGGGCACAATTGAAATGTGGAGCTTGTTCAAGGAACAGCTACTGCGTGTCCTTGAGAAGTATGTACCTGTCAGGCAGGGAGGAAGTGGTCGAGCGAGGGAACTGTGGTTTACTAAAGAAGTTGAATCTCTTGTCAAGAGGAAGAAGGAGGCTTATGTAGAGATGAGGCATGAAGGCTCAGTTAGGGTGCTTGAGAGTTACAAGTTAGCCAGGAAGGACCTAAAGAGAGAGCTAAGAAGAGCCAGGAGGGGACATGAGAAGTCTTTAGCAGGTAGGATCAAGGAAAACCCTAAAGCTTTCTATAGGTATGTCAGGAATAAAAGAATGACTAGAGTAAGATTGGGGCCGGTCAAGGACAGTAGTGGGAAGTTGTGCGTGGAGTCCGAAGAGATAGGAGAGGTGCTAAATGAATATTTTTCGTCAGTATTCACGTAGGAAAAAGACAATGTAGTCGAGGAGAATACTGAGATACAGTCTATTAGACTAGACGGGATTGAGGTTCATAAGGAGGAGGTGTTAGCAATTCTGGAAGGTGTGAAAATAGATAAGTCCCCTGGGCCGGATGGGATTTATCCTAGGATTCTCTGGGAAGCTAGAGAGGAGATTGCAGAGCCTTTGGCTTTGATCTTTATGTCGTCATTGTCTTCAGGAATAGTGCCAGAAGACTGGAGACTAGCAAATGTTGTCCCCTTGTTCAAGAAGGGGAGTAGAGACAACCCTGGTAATTATAGACCAGTGAGCCTTACTTCGGTTGTGGGTAAAGTGTTGGAAAGGATTATAAGAGATAGGATTTATAATCATCTAGAAAGGAATAATTTGATTAGGGATAGTCAACACGGTTTTGTGAAGGGTAGGTCGTGCCTCACAAACCTTATTGAGTTCTTCGAGAAGGTGACCAAACAGGTGGATGAGGGTAAAGCGGTTGATGTGGTGTATTTGGATTTCAGTAAAGCGTTTGATAAGGTTCCCCATGGTAGGCTATTGCAGAAAATACGGAGGCATGGGATTGAGGGTGATTTAGCGGTTTGGATCAGAAATTGGCTAGCTGTAAGAAGACAGAGGGTGGTGGTTGATGGGAAATGTTCATCCTGGAGTTCAGTTACTAGTGGTGTACCTCAAAGATCTGTTTTGGGGCCACTGCTGTTTGTCATTTTTATAAGTGACCTGGATGAGGGCGTAGAAGGATGGGTTAGTAAATTTGCGGATGACACCAAAGTTGGTGGAGTTGTGGATAGTGCGGAAGGATGTTGCAGGTTACAGAGGGACATAGATAAGCTGCAGAGCTGGGCTGAGAGGTGGCAAATGGAGTTTAATGTGGAAAAGTGTGAGGTGATTCACTTTGGAAGGAGTAACAGGAATACAGAGTACTGGGCTAATGGTAAGATTCTTGGTAGTGTGGATGAGCAGAAAGATCTCGGTGTCCATGTGCATAGATCACTGAAAGTTGCCACCCAGGTTGATAGCGTTGTTAAGAAGGCGTACAGTATGTTAGGTTTTATCGGTAGAGGGATTGAGTTTCGGAGCCATGAGGTTCGGAGCCATGAGGTCATGTTGCAGCTGTACAAAACTCTGGTGCGGCCGCACTTGGAGTGTTGCGTACAGTTCTGGTCACCGCATTATAGGAAGGATGTGGAAACATTGGAAAGGGTGCAGAGGAGATTTACCAGGATGTTGCCTGGTATAGAGGGAAGGTCTTATGAGGAAAGGCTGAGGGTTTTGAGGCTGTTTTCGTTAGAGAGAAGAAGGTTAAGAGATGACTTGATAGAGACATACAAGATGATCAGAGGATTAGATAGGGTGGACAGTGGGAGCCTTTTTCCTCGGATGGTGATGGCTAGCACGAGGGGACATAGCTTTAAATTGAGGGGTGATAGATATAGGACAGATGTCAGAGGTAGGTTCTTTACTCAGAGAGTAGTAAGGGCGTGGAATGCCCTGCCTGCAAAAACAGTAGACTCGCCCACTTTAAGGGCATTTAAATGGTCATTGGATAAACATATGGATGATAATGGAATAGTTTAGGTTAGATGGGCTTCAGATTGGTTTCACAGGT